AGTGGAAGGAGTCTAATATTGTACCAGTTCACAAGAAGGGTGATAAAACTGACTGTAGTAATTATCAGGGGATATCACTGCTGTCAACTTCATACAAAATTTTGTCCAGTATTCTTCTCTCAAGGTTAAGTCCGTACATAGATGAAATTATTGGGGATCATCAGTGTGTTTTTCGACGTAACAGACCAACTGCTGATCAGATCTCTTAAATTTGTCAGATATTGGAGAAAAAATGGGGGTACAATGAGACAGTACATCAGCTATTCATAGACTTCAAGAAAGCCTATGATTCAGTTAGAAGGGAAGTATTGTACAGTATTCTGATAGAGTTTTGGGTACCTGTGAAACTAGTTAAGCTGATTAAATGTGTGTAAACAAAACTTACAGTGAAATCCATAGAAGTAAACATTTGTCTGATAAATTTCCTATCCAGAATGGTCTAAAACAAGGAGATGCTTTATCGCCACTCCTTTTCAACATTGTTTTAGAATATACCGTTAGGAAGGTCCAGGAAAACCAGGTGGGACTGAAATTAAATGGGACACATCAGCTGTTGGTTTACGCCGATGATGTGAATCTCCTGGGTGATAATATAGATACCACAAAGAAAAACACTCAAACTCTCACTGACGCTAGTAAAGAGGTTGGTCTAGAAGTAAACACAGAGAAAACCAAGTATATATTGCTATTTCGTCACCAGAATGCAGGGTAAAATCATGACATAAAGATAGGTAACATGTTTTGAAAACGTGGAACATTTCAGATATTTGGGAACGACAATATTAGATCAAAACCTGATTGAGGAGGAAATTAAGAGGAGATTGAACTCGGGTAATGCTTCAGTCACTAACCTTTTGTCTTCACGTCTGCTGTCTAAAAATATAAAAATTGGAATTATAATTATAATTTTGCCTCTGGTTCTGTATGGGTGTGACACTTGGTCTCTAACATTAAGGGAGTAGCTGAACAATTGGCAGCTTCTCAAGAAGTACTCAGCTGCCTGAGTGAGTGAGTGAGTGAGCTGATTTATTACTAGAATACTCACGTTTTCCGAATTATGGGAATTTGCATACCTTGTTCTGATGTTCATTTGTGTTGCATGTAAGTCTGTTGTTGACATAGGTGATTAGCAGCTCACATGCTACAGCTTATAATGAGTTACAGTATCTTCATTTCGGTTATCAGATGTTCCAACGATTGTCATTTTTCGTGGTATGACAATGTAGCGATCTGTATAGCAATATTTCAATCAGTCCAATGAAGTCTACACCACTTCTGACACCAGTCGTCGCGTGTTTTAGTGACTAGACACGGGGTTTTGATTGGTAGGTGGCTTTGAGTCTTTTAAACCGTAACTACAAATAATTACAGTGCTATTGCTAATTCTCACACCTTACAACAATGTACTATAGCCTGCACTAAGTCTTCTCAGTTCGCCTTTAGTAGTCGTTGCTTGTCAACAACTCCCAACAACGCAGATTCCTCAGCATCCGTGTTCACTGGCTGTTATCAGAGTCACTTTACAACCAGCGGTTTACCGCCAGTCAGCTCATCTTGACACTCAGCCTTTTGAGGATCACGNAGTTTTTTTTTTTTTTTTTTTTGCAACTGTACCCATTCAGTCATAGATCAAGGCTTATGACGAGAAGGTGGATTTTGTCTCTTACGAATCTGCTTGGTATTTGACAAATGTACATATTACATGTATAGCATGATATTGAAAAGTATTCCTTGTGCACTGTATTCAAGTCCTGTCAGTGCAGGCTTAGCAAAGCAGATCATGCCTCTCTTATTTATCTTATGCTACAACCGCAGCTTAGTCACTTGAACGGCCGTTCGCTTGACCGCCGCCAAGTTTAAGCCTTTCACATTTTTTTTGTGCCTGGCTTTGCCTTGTCGTACGCTGCGAACATGGTCAATCTCATGATTTTACATTAACTCTGTTGTTACCTCACGGGTTTGTTGTCTAATCGTATACATGCGGAAGTTTGAAAGCAGAGTGCACCTTGGAAAATCTCCGATTATGCGAAGAACCTTGTTTTGCATGCCCATTAATTTTAAGAGGTAGGTGTTTACCACAAATTCCCAGGCGGGACAAGCGTTTGTCATTACAGACCTAGTGAGTGCTTTGTGGACGGTCAGTTTAATGTTAGCGTTTAATCGCTCACTTTTGAATAAGGAATATACTGCAAGAAATTTCCTGAAGGCCTCGGCTTCGATCATTTTTATGTGTAGTCTTCGTGTAATCCTCTTACAGAAGATTACATCGAAAAGACCGGCTCAGCTCGCTGACTCCGCACTTTTATCCACGCGCAGGCATTTTCGAATCTCATCGTAGTTCCTGTAATCATTGTTTTATGGAGGGTTACTTTAATGTTAGCATTTAAACGCTCATTTTTGCATAGGGAGTAGACTGTAATAAATGTTCTGAAGGCCTTGGCTTCAATCATTTCTACGTACAGTGTCCATGTAATCCTCTTATCGAAGATTACACCGAGATATTTTACATGATTGACGAAGGGGATGTTCCGTCCGTTCATTGTAAGATGAGCCTCAGGAGGCCTAAGTCTATGAGAAAAGCAGATGGTCTGAGTCTTATCCTCACTGATGTTTATGTTCCAACGTTCACACCGAGCCTCAATAGCACCGAGACCTCGCTGCAGCTTTCTGACAATATAACCTTCTTTGCGGTCCGTCGCATATATACGGGTGTCATCAGCATAGAGACCTGGATAGACACCAGGTGTCCAGGACGGAACCTTGTGGCACCCCTGCTTCTATATCCCTTTGTGTGAACATTTCGCCTTCGACCGAGACTCTGAATTTTCTTTGGAAAAGAAATGAGCTAATAAGCTTGACGAGGCTGATCGAAAATTCTAGTTTAGATTATTTATATGAAAAGCCAAGGTGCCATACTGTATCACATGCTATTTCCATATGCAAGAAAACAGCAGCCGTAGACATGTTATTGTTGAAATTTAAGGGGACGCGGTCCGTTAGTCTCACACGAGGCTCGTACATTGAAGTGTCGAGCTATGATGGGCACATAAACCAAAATGGTTTGCGTTAAGGAGGCCTCTTTCTTCAATGCGCCTTTGGGCAATTTTCAGAATAACTTCCTCGAATAGCTTACCCGTTGTGGACAAGAAGCTGATCGACGTAAATTTTGAGGGACTTTGGGTCCTTACGGGTTTCGGTGACGTTATGATTTTCGCTTACGCATTAGAGAAAACCGCTCCTAGCAGTTCCTCCATTGTCGCGTCGCGTGTTCGTTGCCGCTGAAACGTGTTTTTCGGCCGTTCCCAAATTCCTGACCTTCAGCTACCATGTTACAGTACACATATTAATCGGGTAGTGATCATTGGAAACTTTCAGATAAATTTTGGATATGAGATTCTCACAGCAGTGGCCGAGAAGAGTTATATCTTGTCATATAACGCCGTGTAGTCTGGTGAAAACCGACGTTTAGAAGGAACGTCGCATCCATCATCAAGGTCGAAGGGTAAGTCGGGTAAGAAACCAGCTAGCAGAGTTCTGCTTGCTGTCTATATTATGATGGTTTCTTGCTTGGCTTACCTTTCCATTCTGGAGATGGAGGCTGTTTGTTTCTCAGAAACGTCTGTTGACTTCACCATACTTCACGGCATTATATCTGAGAAGACGGAACAGTTTTGTTTCAAATAAAAGTTAGGGGTTTTATGTGAGCCATTTCCGAGGTAGCGTTACATTAGACCAGTACTCAGTGTCTGTTCGCCTGGTAAAGATGGGAGGTTGTCCCTATCTTTAATTAAGCACTATGCCAAGAAAATATATTGGCGGGGAGGTGGAGATAAAGCTCCACCATTCTTGGCCTCAGCATTAAATCCATCAGATGACCAGATTGAATGAAATTCATTCATATTCTTTTGATTTGTGGCCTTCGTTAGTAGCATATTGGCACTCTGAATGTTAGGTGTTAGATTGACATTAGCAGGTTTAATGCAGGGCCGTGAAGTTTTGTGTGATGACAGAGCTATGAAGGATATAAAGCCATAAGTCATGTAGCACAGACAGGAGAGAAGAGAAATGCACGAAAAATTTTGGTAAGCAAACCTGAAGGTAAAAGACCTAGGCATAGATAGAGCGGTAATATTCAAAAGTATCTTAAAGAAATAAGATGGGAAGGTATTTATTTGATTCCTCTGGCCAAGGATGCAGATTAGTTTTTGGCCCCTGGGAATGTAGTGTTGAATATTTTTCATAAAATTCATACAATTTCTTGACCAGCTGAGTAGCTTTAGCTTCTTAAGAAGAAGGGCTGTGCTCTGTTAGCTAATAATGTAATGTCATAATGGCTACAAAAAAGGGGTAATTAGCTTTCTATGTCATAAAAATTAAATAAGATTCTAGCCATTAAATATTTCATTAATTGGTTCAGCTGTTTCGTTCAAAGGAATATGAATAATGTAATCTTTAATCTCATTATGGAACAGTTGTTTTCAGTTTCCACTTATGATATCGATGTTAGTTTGTGTTAGTTCAATACTATTTCTGTTGAACACCACTGCTTTTTTTCTTGCACTTGTCTTATCGCTGCTGGCATGGAACTCACTACTTGTTCTTTGTCACACCGTTTCACTATACATAAATGATGCATGCCTCTTCTAGCACAGATTTGTTCCTCAAGCTGACTGGCATAATCATTCCAGAACATTCTGGCTGGCAGCATGGACTGCACATTCAAGAACAGTGTAGAAGCTCATGGTGGGTTGTGAAGTCACTGAGCTTCCAGAAGGAGGTGCATCGTTACTTTATATTGTTTGTTAGCCTCTGTGTATGGTTTGGAGACCTGTAAGCTCTTATTTTGTATTTACAGTTCTTCTGAGTGAGCCAATTGAAAATGATGATCTGCAGTTCAAGACACTCAAGATTACAGACTTCGGGCTTGCAAGAGAAGTATATAAGACAACACGTATGTCTGCTGCAGGAACCTATGCCTGGATGGCACCAGAGGTTATTAAGACATCCACATTTTCTAAAGCCAGTGATGTCTGGAGGTTAGTATGAAAGTCATCATGTTCCATACTGCTAGCTTGTTTATGGACAGTTCTTGAACCAGGGGAAAACAACAAATTCATTGTTGAGTCTTCTGGCTGGCTGCATGATGTTGAACTGGCAGAAGCTACTAATGTACTGAACAAATGGTATGGCCAAGAATTAAAAAGACTAAAGGATAGAGACCTGTGACTGATTCATGTTGTCTTGGTTCTTGCATGATATAATAAGGCCCTATCAATTGTTCAGATTGTATTGTGTTAAATTTAAAAAGAGCTTAATTGAATGTAGAATGAAGTGGTGATTGTCTGTTTAAAGGTTTTGGAAATTAACATGAAGGGACTGAAGAAATCTGTGACAATTCAGTCAGGAGAGTTGGTAGTCGATTGATCAAGGGTAAAGTTACCAATTTAGTGCCATGCCATAAAGACAGAATGGGAGTGGAGGTATAGCTACACATGTTCTTGTCACTGGAACTAGATTCAGGAGGCTGGGTGGGCACCCGAGAAGTTCAGTTTGCTGTGAAAAAGGGAGTTCTGGTCTGTTTGAAGATACTGTGCTGGAATTTGCCCAGAGGAGCTGTGGGAACAACCTCAGAGAATATTTGTATCTAAGAGACAGGAAATGCCAGTCACAGTAGCTGATAGACCTAAAGCATGGACTGTCTTCACTCAGTCGGATGCTGGGATCGTGGGTTCGAATCCCACTCAGGGCATTAATGTTTTGTGTGTGTATGTGTTGTCCTGTGATTAGGTAGAGGACTTATGATGAGCTGATCACCGTCCAAGGAGTCCTACCATTTGTAAAAATGATCATGAAACGGAGAGAAGAGGCAAGGGTCCACGGGGCCTGTAGAGCCAGTGAAAAAAAAGGGGCGGGGAAAGAAGTAAGAGGAAAGTGGAGAAAGTTCATGATGAGCATCTTTGTAACTTATACTCTTTGTCTAATGTTATGGTGAGAAATACGTACAGAAATTAGTTACAGGACGTAAAGGAAGACAATTTGGGGGAAGCTAGGCATTTCATGGGAAGATGGTATTAAAATGGATTGTAATGAAATGAGGTGTGAGTGTATGAGTTGGGTCAGTTGTTGCATGATGGGTTTGAATGGTAGCCTCTTGTGAAAGTGAAGGTAATCAACCTTAGGGCTCCAGTCAAGGAATTTATTGGCAAGAGGAGCTATTGTCAGCTTCTCAAGGAGTCTGTGTCATGTTGTTAGCTAATATCTTGTGACTACAAGTTCAGAACATCACTGGCACGTGAACTTGCTCATTTTGAGAGTGATATTTGAACCTTGACATGCCAGCAGGATTGTTAATTACAGCATGTGACATTTTACTTTGTCCTGAAAGTTGGTTCTGGCTTCTTTGTATTGTGTCCGATTCTGTTTTCCTTGAATGTGTATGAACTATGTCAAGTTTTCATATCACCAGAAACTAGGGGTTTGATTGTGAATGCAAGAAGGTTATAAAGTCCAAAGCTGTGTCTCTAAACATTTCAATACACATGGAGCTTGGGTAGCTTAATGAGTGCAGTGACCACTTTGGCTATGATTGACAGTGGGGACGGAGATTTTTTATAGATTACAGTCATCTGGGATGCAATATCATGTAACATAATAGATGGATATTAAATTTTCAGAGGAACCTGCTGTGTCCATCTTCAGGCTATTATACCCTGAAGATGGAGGCAGCAGACTTCTCTGAACCATTTGTCCTATCTATCAGCCCATATGGCAGCACATCCCAGAAGACCATAATCAGAATATTCAACCCCATGAGATTGTTAAATCTCATTATATCACTAGTTTATGGGAAGGAATATTTAGTGTTAATAAGAGTTGAATGCGATACATAACATGTGCTTCTGTCAACACCATGACCCTATAAGTCTGTTTCCCAACTAAACAGATTAAATCTTCTGTTAGGGCAGTAAAAATTGAGAGAGTACCTTCATTTATGCCATAACTACTTCCTTCCAAATCCTTTCCAGTCCATCATGCGTCTGTCATCCTACCATTTGATGCCATAATTATATAGGTACTGACTCCATTGTATTACCACTACTTGGAGTGACCGTAGACAGGGTTTGGATTGGTAATTGGATTTATTGAACACGTTAATGCATAACTCATAACTACACTTAATTATAGTGCCATTGCTGATATCCACACTCTACAGATCACTATAGCACACAGGCTAGTGTTCGCAGTCTCTTACAGACTCCACTAGTCGTTTCCTGATAACGGTTTATAATAGTTGAGATTCTTCAGCTGCACCTAACAAGTCGTATTGTCACAGACTCCCTTACAGTTCTCCCTAGTGCTTCAACTGACTAACTCCCAGGCTGGTGGCCCCCTTTCATGCCAACCTTCTAGTCTTCTCTCCTCTTCACAGACTTACATTCAGTTAAGCTCTAAACTTTGTCCCGCGTATAACCCCTTGGCATGGACCACATAGAAAACATGGCTCTTCTATTGTTGTAGTTGAACTGTTGCTGCGGAGATGTGTCTACCATGCCATTGCATGGTAACGGCCGCTGCACAGACCACAGAAAACACAACTTCCAGCCTCTGTTGTTTCATGTTGATTCATTGCCATGGGAATCTGTTTGTGTGCTATCACTACCTAGTAAGGGGTCTACACTCTACAGTATGGTAGAATGACAGATGAATTGAACAGGATTGAACAGAGTGGCCACAGTGTAAATCAATGGCCTTTACTAGGCTGGCAGAAGATCTGATCAGTTTAATTTGAAAAGGGACTTAGGGAATCATGGTGTTGATGTAAGCACTATAAAATATAACTATGCATGCTGCTGGAGTCATGATCGTGTTCATATGCAGCAGGTGCCTAATATGCTCCATTCCATATCTGAATGTCTCCAGTCAGTAATCCTTTTATGTTACTCAGTTTAAAAGAAGTTGTACAGACACCAAGCACTTAGGCATATTATATAGAGTGAGACCGCCTCTGTGGTCTAGTGGTCAAGAGTTCCTGCCTACAGATCCAGAGGTCCCAGGTTCGATTCCCGGTTCTACCTGATTTTCTGAGAAGTAGTGGGTCTGGAACAGGGTCCACTCAGTCTCGTGAGGATAATTGAGGAACTATTTCAAGGAAATAGCGGCTCCTGTCTAGAAAACCGAGATTAATGGCCATGGAGATTGTTGCGCTGACCACGTGACACCCTCTAGCCACAAAAGTTGGCACTAACTCGCTGACAAGCCTACTACAGGCCATGGAGTTTGTTTTGTTTGTATATAGAGTGAACAGTTAGCCCAGTGGGTGAGACTATACCGAGGCCAAAGAAAGAAACCCCACTTATGATGGGGATGATGGTGCTTGAGGCTTCCTTCTGTCTGCTTGTATGTTTCCCTCCACCTCCCTCTGGCCTGTGTAAATCAGCCCTTTTTTGTGTTCAGGAGAGTTATCATATGGTTTTCATTACAAACATTTGTGTGTATAGGGCACTAGATGACTTGGAGGAGGGGGGTATATAGACAAGTGTGCTGGAAGGGAAACATAACAGTTCAATGAAGAAGAGAAATTATCACTAAATGGCCATTTTTGTTAGAAATCTGATTGCAGACTTTGCTTAGCTTTCTACCTATCCTAACAGTCTGTTTTATGGTGCTATGGTGCAAGTGCTATGCTAGTACTTTAAAACGGGCCATGAACAGTGAGTTTTTTCTCTCATTCCATTTGCTGCTCAATAACCTCTGCAGTTGATGCAGGATCAACATGCAAGCCAAAATTATTTAACCAAGAGCTATAGTTTCTATATGGTAATCATAAATAATCAGAACTATAGGTATTCTAATAAGAAATAATTTATTCATAAATAAAAAAGCTTATTGGAGAAGGATATACTCTTATTATTCAATAAGACAAAGTATTAACATGTGACCCAATGAAATATACACATAAGCACTGCAAAACTGAATGTTGAAGCAGGAGGTAAGAGGTTCATATGTCGGCAAAATGACTAATTGTCCTGCAGTTTTCATAGCTTTTTTCTGCCCCATCAAGGAATTTCATGGATAGTATAGTGAAGTAGGCCATGACTACTTCTGTTCCTATTGCAGCTGGCACAATGTCTGTGATCTAACATATTTAGGAGTTTAATATTTGGATGTTGTTGCAGCTATGGTGTTTTATTATGGGAACTACTAACAGGCGAGACTCCATACAAAGGAATTGATGCTCTGGCTGTGGCTTACGGCGTAGCTGTGAACAAGTTGACGCTCCCCATTCCTAGCACTTGCCCAGTGCCATGGCGGGATCTTATGGAAGGTATGGTATGAACCGTGTGAACATTAACTATTTGTATGGTATACAAGGTTTGTTAACTCCTGTGTGATTGTGAGGATACAGCTGAAGATTTTGCCATGTGGGCTCTTGCTTTATGGACCCAAGTGACTACCAAGACTCCCCTACAAGTACGATACTAAGCTTCATTCAAAGTGTAGGATTGCTGAAGGGTTAAAGTAGAAGGAGTTGCACAGTAGATCATTGAAGATTGTGGTGAAGTAGCCGGATTAGGCCTACCCATTATTCATTCACTCATTCATTCATCGAAGGTTTTAAAGTTTGTGATGATGGTACATTAATATTGTCACATGTTGGGTGTGTAACGGGACAAATAACTTCACGCCATCTTAGATATAGCAAATTTATTGAACACTCGCTCTCACAATTACACAATTCGCAATTTCCCAATTACTGCCATCTGCAGTTTCACAATTAGTTCTCCTGTTGGAGTCACTGTCATTCTCTCGATACAACTTGACTTGTTGACTGCTAGATTGCAACTGACTAGTTAGTCCCTCTCACTGACAAATACTCCTGTTATGTAGCTTCCTCACTGACAACACAGAAAACAGTTACGTGATAGCTTTCACTGTTGCATGACGTCATGTTTACTGATTGCCTAGTAACAGTCGCTGCACGGGCTCCCCTGTTGCATGATGCCGTGTTAACAAACGCGTTGCTGGGTAAGCTCAGAAAACACCAGCGCGCTTTGGTTCGGCTTGGTTCGGCTTGGCACGGACAAACACTGCTTTCCGTACTGTTGCATAACCTCGTTTCCACTGTTGCGTAACTTGGCAACCGACCATTTATCAAGGGTCTGTCTTCGTGGTAACTCGTTCCACCTCCCATTGCCCAGCAATTGTTGGACATGTCACACTGCTCCCTTCTTTAGGCTGTTCATCCCTAATAGCCTAACAGTGCATCACCGGTCCTTTCCTTCTGAGGCTGTGCTTGCAACATTTTCTTTTTTGTCTGGCTCTGTGTTTCCTTTCTTCCCATTGCCCATTCTTCAACCGCTACATCCGCTCCTTTCTTAAGACCAGCTTATCTTGAGCTGTTTTTTTTAACACAACGTTTCAGAGACTGGATTCAGTCTCTGTCTTAAGGTGAAACCTACTCAGTTGTGCCCAGTGGACGGATCTGGTCCCTATCTCCGAAATGTGTTTTAAATAGAAACAGGAGGTTGTTAATGATGGATAATGTGCAGAAACATCATATTTGCGTTAAAGGTTTGTTTGCAAAAATCATGGAATGGCTGTCTGAAGTAACACCAGTGATGTGCATGTCGATGTGTGTGAAGTAGCTGACGGATGAGACTATAACCTACATATAGTGGTTCATTCCAAGCAGCTGACATGACATTCTATAGTGTTATAAGTGTTTGCATGGTGGTGTGGTTTGATGTTGTTATACAGCGTCCTTAAAGGAGCAAAGAACTTGTATGAAACTGAAATTTTCTGTCAAACTGAGCAAAACAGCTGTGGAATCCCACAGAATGTTATGTGAAGCTTACAGCAATGAGGCACAAACATTTCCAAAGCAGGAGTTCTTCAACTGATAATGATGGGAAGTTGTGCTGACTTTAAGCTTCAAGAAATGATTCTTTGATTTCACAGGCAAAAGACTTTGTCTTTGCCAATAATCAGTTGATTGTACAGGAAGTACCAAAGGAGACTGGATGTTTAGTCTGTGAAGATCCTGTGTGACAAGTGACTGCTGACTTTTTTGAGAAAATGTTGTCCCTGGAGTTGAGACTTGCAGTTAATGCATATGAGATGGAAAAAAATGACAGTCAGTACTGTGGAAGAGGTCTGATTCACTGCATCCAAAAAACACTGATCTACCTGAATGTGAAACTAGTGTTGATTGTGTTTTTGATTATCACATTGCTGTCTGTTCATCGTTAGTTCCCTCCAGTGGGCTACATTGTTAATCTAGCTTATTATCTGGAACTTTTGAGTCATGCAAATGATATGGTATGAAGAAATTTACTGGGAATGCGGACTCAGGAACTGTGTACATTGCCATGACAGTGACTAGCTCACACAGTGTTGTTGAGTCAAGAGTTTTTGACAAAACTTTGATTCCTGTCTTTTCACAACTTCCCTATTCACATGACCCATCCCTCATAGACTTTCCTTTCTATTCCTCTAAATAATAATTACAATATGGAACAAGATTTTGAACAGAAGAGGAAATTATTATGAATATAATAGATGAACTGAGAGCAATTTGACATAAATACTTCAAACAGTGCTTCCAGAAATGGAGAGTTGGAGTGGTTCATTAGTGCCCAGACTAATTATTTTGGAGGAGATAGGTCTAACTAAGCTGTAATTCTTGAAGCAAGCTGTTATTGACAAAGAAGAGGAACTCTCTGAACAAATCTCATAGTCCGTTCATGCCATCAGTGTGCATGCCCCCATGCACACACACAGATATGCACAGAGAGAGATGGTGGGGGGTCACTTCATGACTTAATGTTTTGGCATCAGAATCTCATGCCCAAGGTCATTCCCAGTCAGGAGTGTCACGTGAACATAGGTGTGTTATTCAGCAGGTACAGATCATTAGATGGCAAATTGTAAAGCTATCCCTGTAACAGGCCGTGATGGCCTGTAGGGTTGTGAGATGTCGAGGATCCCACATTATCTAGACAATCAGCTCACAGATGGCGGTAAGGTTGTCAGCCTGACGCGCCAGCCGCCCTTTACCCCCAAGAATATTCCTGGTACTCATTTCTGTTAGAGGCTGAGTCGACCCCAGGGCCATAGTGTGGCTGGAAGGATTAGGTAAATTGAAAAAATCCCTCGCAAGGGACTAGAACCTGTGATCTTCTAGCTTGTAGCATAGTGCCAACTACGGTACCATGTGCCCTGAGCATTAGACGTCTGAAATTAAAAATGGTTTGGGTGTAGGTCATGTTGACATGTGCAGCATTTGCCAGCCAGATCTCCGGACTTCATTCCCTTAGATTTTTTCCTTTGGGGGAACATGAAGGATCTAGTATACTGATAGAAAGTGGAGACACAAGGCTCATTACATTTTTGCATTTTGTTTGCTGCAACTAGGCAATCCTAATGACGTGATGTGCATAGTGCCTTCAGTTCACAGATGAGCCAGGATGTGTACTGAGATGAAGGGTGGTCATTTTGAGCAGTTAATGCAAATTCAGCAATGAATACTTTATGCAAGTACTTGTCCACTTATTTTACATTTCTTAATGTTCAGTAGTGATAAATTCATAACTGTTAAGAATGAGACCTATGCTTGTATGACATTTCTGCCCTGGAATTACCTCAGGTGTAAGCTTTTGAAGTTGAGACATCAAGTTATAATTGCCCTATTTATATAAACTTCCTTAGTCTCTCTGTGATCACCCAAGTGCCTTGTTAGAGATCAAGCCTCAAACCTAAAACGTGAATGTATGGGACTGTGCTGCCAGGGCAGGGCAGGGCTGTTTGTCTTCTCAGGGGGCAGTGATAGATGAGTATGCAGCACTGATGGAGGATTAGCAGGAAAAACCAAAGAATTTTTTAAAGAAATTTTCTATAGTTCTGCTTCATTCACAAAGAACCTCACATGAAGTCATTTGGGATTGAACTCAAGGCTCCATGGTGTGTGAAGTCAGCATCTAACTGCTTGAGCTATGGCATGACCCTAGAATGTGTATGTGTGTCATGTTACATTATGTTATGTTAATAGTTAATAGCTGGTAATTATTTATATTATGAATAACTCATTTGTTATTATTAAAATGTATTATTCATTTATACCATAACATATGCAGAATGAACAAAAAATGATTCACCAAACTTTGGGATGTGGTTTCACCCATTGAAAGAGTTAAAAAATCTATATTGAAAATATACCCAGAATGGATTACATTTCAGAGCTGTGGCCCTTTTGAATTTTAGGATATTTGAGGAGGACAGCAGCCTTGCTAGTATTTCTCAAGTAAATCTGAATGTAACAAAGTAGTAGTTCTTTGACATGCAGTCCACCCATGCCCAAACAGAGCTCAGCACAGTGCCTCATGGATTTGTACACATGCCTGAAGTCCCTTCCTTCCATGAAATTGCTTAACAGGTGTTCTCTACATGCTACTGCAACTCTGCATCATCACGGACTGAAGTGGCATAAACTAAACACTTCATATATTTCCAAAGAAAAGTCTGTTGGATTGAGGCCTGATGAGTATCAGGGCCATGGAGCAGGCCCATCTCAACCTATCTACTTTTCACCAAAGACTTGATTTAGGGATTTCTAACATAATTGAGGAAGTCACCATGAGCCCCTTTGCTCATGAACCACATGTGATTTCATATTCACAGAGGGATATAGATCCCTAGAGATATATCAGATATATCTGCAGGACATGTACACCCAATAGGCATGAAGGCTTAAAGAGTCATTATCCATTGAGCAGAAGTTTCCTGCTTTTTTGAAACCAAAAGTTTTATTGCCCTTTACAAAAGTAGCAAGGAAAGAGAAACTGAAGCAATAACTTGGTTGTTACAGCCTGCTGGTGTCCAGACCCTCACCTGCGCCCCTCATTTGAAGACATTCTTCAGGCTCTGGATGCTATTGTTCATTCAGCATTTACACAGACGCCACATGAGAGCTTCCACACTATGCAGGAGGACTGGAAACTTGAGATTGAGGAGGTGCTTCATGGTCTGCGCATGAAGGAAAAGGTACCATTTTGTTTGGTTCAGCAGAAAGTTTATTGTTGTTCAGGTGTAGGTACTGTAACCACAGGTTTGAGATATGCTATAGCTGTCATATTTTGGTAGTATGTGTCTTCTCCTTCCTTGTTAGTCATCTTTAATAACCCACTCACTGCAATGGGTACAACAGTTCTGAGGGTTGCGTTATGGATAAAACTGTGTCAGTAAACAGAGTTCAAGAATAATATCTTTTTTTATTGAGCAATTATATGCAAATAAGTGTGAATTTAATACTTAGATACAAATTGAATCCACAGTGGTGTGTATACATATATGTGTAAACAGTAAGTTCTGGGAGAACTAATCACCTACTTTCCTCTGATATGATACCAACCACATAGAAAATTACGCCTCAAACAATTCCTCATTGCCACGGCAATGTGTCTTCTGGGCCATTGCCCAGCAAGGATAAAGGGGATGCACAGAGAGCTCTACCAGCTCTCCTTTGATATGACATGGGCCACATATGAACTGACACATCCAACAATTCTTCTATTGTTTCATATGTATTCGTTGCCATGGTAATGTTTTTACTCAGCCATTGCCTGTTAACATACACAAACAGACACATAGATTGATGTGAGGCATTTATGAGGCATGCCTTTCAGAAGGGTTCACATGCACGATATACATACCATGTTTCATCAGGACTGGTTCAGGCGTTCAAAAGTTTATAGGAGAGAGTTCACAGATCTCATAAGCCTGCATTTATTTTTGCAAAATAAGGAAAGTAGGCAAAAAATATATTTATTAATAGCAATTTATTTAGTTATGTTTTTAGTCTTGTATACACATACGCAAAAATGATGTATTAATTGCATATCCAAATTCTGATATACTTAAATAAATATTGTCTAACTGTCAGCTGGTGCAGTTTTCTTCACAAACAGTGAGAGGGTTATACTTTGTAACCATCTGTTATATCTAAGAAGTGAACTGCTAGATGGTGTGTGCGGAAGTGACGCACTTGGGACGGGACAGAGCAAGGGGTGACGCATGTGCAGGTGGGCAGTTTAGTGTTAGTAGTAACAAATATGAGCCAAGAATGTGGAGCAGGTGTCATTTCCTATTAGTATTTCAATGTTAAGACAAGAAAAATTGGTGACAGTGATAAATACGACAAGTGAAAATAAGTGAGGTTAGGGATACCAAGTGATCAAGGTCAAGCTTCTATAAGTTACAAAGTCTCTATTCCTGGTACCTTTTTGATTTCAAATTCCATATAGTGGATGCTGATGAATTTAAACAGTTCACGCTGGCTTTTCAAACATAGCACCAGCAATTTCTTGAACAAGCTCTACCACTGCAAGTGCCAAGTACTTCAGCGCAACAGTCAAGTGCGAATCTCAAGTTAATCTGGTGTTACTTTTGCCTTTTGAAAATTTTGATTCTAAAAAGGAATCCTTCACATACTATCTCCAGCGATTTGAAAACTTTCTTGAAATTAAGAAAATAACCTCAAACGTATGTTTCTTAATTCACTGCATGCTTTGAATTATGATATGCTGGTGGCATTAGTGTCCCCAAGGACTCCAGCTGAGTTAGTGTATGATGAACTAATGAATACTTTTGAAATGCACCTCTGCCCCCCCCAAAAATTCTGGTCTTTCAACATCATTTTCTTTCAACTTACCAGGCCGAAACTCAAATAGGCACAGGCTGTGTTGCAACTCTCCAACATGACCTTATTGACTGAATTTATCTCACCTTGTGAGTGCCATATGTCAATTGCAGACAAATTTTTATGTGCACAGTTTGTCCATGGTATTCAATTCGTGAGCAAATTTTTCAGTCAGAGATCCATGCATTGAATGAAATTGCAAAGAGGGCAATAGCCTGAGAAGCTTCAAAAACTAAAAGTTGTAAACTTTCTAAGAAATCTACGACTCTGACTAGTGCACATGAAGAGGGCAACAAGGTTTTCAAATATCAAAATACCAGACGTAATGATGGCAAGGCCCAGAATTAGGAATCATTCTACCTCTTGAACCAAGGTCAAACCTAAACAACACTCAAAGTCACAACCCAGATTCGACTTCAAAAAGCTTGGAATTAAAAATCTCTACAATCCCTGTGGCCAAGATAATCATAACACAAAAGCGTGCAACACGGATCGCAACTCACTCAAGTGTAGTGCCTGTAAGAGATCTGGACATGTTAAGAAAGTGTGCATTCAATCATTATTGGATGTAAAAAGTAAGGCTATCACTGCAAAACCAGAGTTTACAAATTGTGCCTACAATAAATAAACTCTTGGTTATTATGGGTTGAACCAGATCATAGAGCTTTTAAAAACAAGGAAGCAACATCGCAAGACTGTGATAAATACTTTGTATCAGTAAACATCGAGGGTCATGAACAGAAGTTCAAAGTCGACTGAAGTGCCAGCTCCACCTTCATCCCACATGACAAATTCTATAAGGTCAATATCTCAGCTCAGATTAAAAAATCAACAGTTGCATTTCGTTCATACATGGGCAGCGTGTTTCTGCCAGGCGGGAAAGTCAAAATAAATGTGGAATACCAAGGAAGAACGTTCCGGGAAGAGCTCTGTGTTGTCACAGAGGAGTATGACGCACTGCTAGGATGAATGTGGATACACCATATTGGCATTAGCCTTCAAGAAATTGATTCTGAACAGATAGTAAATTCAAGAGCACCAGGAGTGCACATGGTAGACTGCATCAATGACATTATCTCCAGATACCCAGAAATTTTTTAAGAGGCAGTTGGTTGTATTCCAGGAGTCAGTGTGTCATTGCACTTCCGCAACAAAGCTAAACCAGTCTTCCATAAAGAGCGAGAAGTGCCATATGCCCTCCGTGATAAAGTCAATAAAGAACTGGATGCACTCGAGAGAATTATTTCAGAAGTTGCTGTGAGCAATTGGGGATCACCACTCATTGTGATAACAAAGCCAGATGGAAACGTTCAATTATATGTTGACTATAAAATCAGTGTCACTGAACGGCTAGCCAATGCAAATTATCCAATTCGACAGATTGATGACATCCTTAATAGTCTCAGAAACTCAAAATACTTGTGTTGCCTAGATTTATATAAGGCATATCTTCATGTTTTAGTTGATTAAGGGAACAGTCAAATTCAAATGGTAACTACACACCGCCTATCATATGAACTGGTTATCATTTGGTATCAAAACAACTCCAAGTGATTTTAACCATATCATCAATCAGATTCTTCAAGGCCTACCAAAAACGCTGTCTTGCTTTGATGATATAATTCATGGCACAACAAAAGCATATTGGAAGAACCTTGAAATGTGTCTCCAAAGGTTGAAGAACTATGACCTTCACTTGAATTGGAAAAAGTTCTCCCTCTTCCAAGAGTGAATCGAATACTTGAGACACATCATAGAATTTAACAAAATTTCTTAGAGCCCAGAAAAAATCAAAGCAATAATTGATATGCCAAGACCTTCCGATGTGGAAGGATTATGCCGATTACTCAAGATGGTCACTTTACTCACAATTTCTTCCAAATAATTCCTCAACCACCTATTTTCTTTGACAGCTTCTTCGAAAGAACTCAAGGTTCCGATGGATGGCAGAATGCGAAGCAGTTTTCATTAAACTGAAAAGGGAGATAGCAAATGAATGTGTTCTGACTCCATATGACCCAACACTTCTGTTCGTCCTTACCTGTGATGCCAGCCCTGTGAGAGTTGAGGGCATCCTATCGCACATCACTGATGGGCAAGAACGACCAATTGCGTTTGCATCCAGATCACTTTAATGGCAGCCAAACTAAATTAATCCCAGCTCAGTCTTGAGGCCCTCGCTAAGGTGTTCACAGTGGAATTTTTTTTCAATTATTTGTTCGGAAGACACTTCAAGCTGGTAACTGACAATCGACCATTGACAAGAATCTTCTATCAAAACGCCAAATTACCACCAATGACATCAGGGCAGTTGCTTCGGTATGCCGCCTTCCTCTCAGCATTCGACTATGAAGTGGTCTTCAAAAAAGGCATCAATAACCTTGATGCTGATTGTCTTTCTAGAGCCCCGGTTGTTCAGAAGGAATTTTGGAACTTTGATGACTAGGCAATCAACATTGAAGTCAGTTGTGTGTGCATGGCATGAATAAAGGAAATCTCAACTGAATGGCTAAATGCTGATGCAATCAGGAAGGAAACAGACTCAGATGAACAATTATCAAAGACCAAACTGGAAATACAAGAGAACCAAAAGCTCTCCTATGAGTATACCCTAGAAGCAGATATCCTGTTAGAGGGTTAGCAGGTCATATTCTCAAAAATACTGGATAGGCCTATTGAATTTAGAAGCCAATCTCCAGCAACCAGATGGCTGGAATAACCAAGATGCCCCAGCTCAACCAGTACAGGAGGATGTCGAAAAGGCACTGGCCCATCCCGAGGAGGATGTTCAACTTAGGAGGTCGACACGACAATGCAAACTCCCATCATACCTACAGGAGGATGTCGAAAAGGCACTGGCCTATCCTGAGGAGGATGTTCAACTTAGGAGGTCGACACGACAATGCAAACTCCCATCATACCTACAGGAGGATGTCGAAAAGGCACTGGCCTATCCTGAGGAGGATGTTCAACTTAGGAGGTCGACACGACAATGCAAACTCCCATCATACCTACAGGAGGATGTCGAAAAGGCACTGGCCTATCCTGAGGAGGATGTTCAACCTAGGAGATTGACATGACAATGCACTCTCCCATCATACCTACATGACTTCGTCACAGGAAGAAGTTGATCGTTTTATTATTGTATTTGTATTGTGATGTATTAGTAGGCAAACCAATTTCAGTGCTATTGTAACTATTCATTTCAAAGTGAGTCCATCTGATAAGATCCAGTATAAGTATGGGAGAACTGTTATATCTCAGAAGTGAACCGCTAGATGGTGTGCATGTGAGTGACAAGCTTGAGACACGACAAAGTAAAGGCTGATGCGTGTCCATGTGGGCAGTTTCCAGTATTCAAAATATCTAGTTGCAGTAGTAACAAATATGATCCAAGAATGTGGAACAGGTGTCAGTTTCTATTAATGTTTCAATGGTAAGACACAACAGCATCCATTTTCATTTTCACCACATGTTGCCCTAAAATCTATTTCACTGTTCTTTCATGTTTCTCTGGGTCTTTCAGATAGCCTTTTTCCAAGAGGGTTTCTCACTCACCTCTCTCCATTTGGCATGTGAAACCCAATATAATAATCTTCATTTCACTTCCATCATAAATTAAATTACATCATTCTTTGTATATCATATAGACTTGGCAGACCCTGTTGATATTTAAAAATGAAATCGTTAAAACAAACAGTAGCAAAAATACCTAACCTCATTAATTTCAAAAGCTCTGGAAAAAGCAGCCATAATTCTGCTAAATTACTGAACTAGACAGAATATCAGTGTGCACTAAGCAGTGCAGTTGTCTGGATAATATGGTTTTTGGCAAAAGGTATCTGCAAAAAAATCTTTGTCAAAAATACCTAACCTCATATTAAACAACAGAGAGACGTTTCTTGCAGTCATAACTTGACCAACTGTAATTGTTTGTGGTTGAGTGATTTGACCTCATATACAACAAAATAAACATATACGATGGGGTACCCAAAAGAAACCGAACTAATTTTTTTGTGGGCATAGCTTTTGTAGTACCGCATTTTGCCACTATGAGCGCATAGAGCTAACATTCCTGAGTCGATAAGCCGACTACCATTGCTTCAGAAGGTAAGGACTAGTTTCGGCAGAGTTTATAGTGACAACTGTTTTGTGTGATCGTCGTTTTTGCAATGGCTGATTTTCATGAACAGCGTGCGGCGGTGAAATTCTGCTTTTTGCTCGGGAAAAGTGGAACAGAAACTCTTGAAATGTTAAAAACGGCATACAAGGACGATGCTATGGGGAAAACTCAAGTGTTTGAGTGGTTTTCCCATTTCAAAAATGGTGAAATGTCAATTTATGACAAACCTCGTTCTGGTCGTCCTTCCATGGCCCGAACACATGAAAATGTTGAAAAAATTCGTGAAATCATCAAGGAAGATCGACGACGGACCATTGAAGAAATTGTGGAGCTGTCGGGAGTGACTTGGAGCTCAGCGGCCAGATTTGTGGCAGTCGGGTGACTGGTTTTTCCATCATGACAATGCCCCTGCTCACACAGCCCTGTCTGTACGACAGTTCTTGACCAAAAATGGTATGACCCCTGTTCCTCACCCTCCATACTCACCCGACCTTGCCCCGTGCGACTTTTTTTTTGTTTCCTCGAATGAAAAGAGACATGAAAGGAAAAAACGACGGAGGCGCTGTCAAGCATCTCAAAAGATGAATTTAGACAATGTTTTGAAAAATGGAATAAAAGACTAGACAAGTGTATTAGTGTAAGTGGAGAGTACTTTGAAGGGGATTGAAGGTTTGTGCTTAAAATTTGAATAAATAAGTTAAAAAAAAATAAGTTCGGTTTGTTTTGGGTACCCCCTCGTACAGATACTAACATCTGTTGTTTTGATATTACCACTGCTATTAACATGCAGTCACATGTTATTCCCAATGTTCTCACGTGTGACAACAGGGCAAACCTTCAAAATAAAAAGTTTCTATCCCTAGCTGTGCTTTTGTATATGAGCCTTTCATTGATCCATGGTTAGATATTAAATCTCAATTTCAGTGAACATGCCTGCTCTTAACAATATAGTATTTTTCTGTGAGCAAAGGGCGAGACTGTAATTTCAGCTGAAGCATAGACAACAGCATCCATTTTCATTTTCACCACATGTTGCTTTAAAATCTATTTCACTGTTCTCTCGTGTCCCTCAGGGTCTTTCAGATAGCCTTTTTCCAAGAGGGTTTCTCACTCACTTCTCTTTCACTGCCACCTGGTGGTCCTATCTGTAACTAATGCATAGCCTCACATTATTCTGAATGATCTTAAATGGAATGAGGGTGGAACCTTTGAAATAAACATTTTCCAACTCTAGTTAAACTTTCTGCAGATAACCCGTCCTTGATCCACTCTTATAAATTTCATCACATTGTTGATGATTGTACTGGGGTCACAAAATGGTTGATAACCACATCAGCTCATGCATGTAAATGTAAATCGTGTCTTGCTTTCCAGGATGGCAGTACTGTTAGTATTAGTTATCTGCTTGAGGTATGACAGGCTGTACAAATTTACGCAGTGAAACATTTGTGATTGTCATTGAAACTTGTTTCTTACTTTCTTACAGTTAGAATACAGTGTACAAGGCACAAATAAGTGTGACTTGTGGGTGTTGCTGTCCCACTGTAATGAACTCAATTGCATTCTGATTAATTTTCATGGATATTACATGTCAGTAACTCAGTGCAAAATTTTCCAAGTCAACTAAATGTGAGCCCCATTAACCAGTTAACTAAATGAATGATTTGACTGGTAAATACTCTTGCATTAAATGTTCATATAAGTACATAAATTACTAACAGTAATGTAAGTCCACACAAATTGCTGTGTATCTTAACCAAGCGATGCAGATCGTGTCATGAAGTTTGTCATATGTTACCTCTACAATGTCTCACTGATTTCTCATGCTGGGCCACTCAGGACGCCCTTCTGGTACACTGCCACATGTTGTGAAGTATGGCATTGGTTTTACCTCTGTAGAGGCACCAATGTGAAGGGCTTCACTTGCTCACATTTCATTCGGTCTAGTGAAATTCACGTTCTCCCAGACTTGTACCATACCACTGAGTGAGTGTAGCTCCTGCCAGCTGGCGCAGTGGGCACCATGTGGAGCTAATGATGGGCAATGAGCAGGAACTCAACTTCAAACATGAACTTGAAAATGCACACTACCAACAGCAAAATGCTTCTGTGGGAAAGATTGAGGCTGTAATACTGACTGAAGTATAGGTACCTTTCACTGTCATGAGGGAGGCCTAGGAATTCCTGTCTGTAACTACTTAAAACAGCGGCTTATGTATAAGGGCCAAATAGAGATGGAGGTGTAACCCATAGGCTTTTATAAATAAGGATTTTTCATTTTCCACTTGGTTCACCCCTCTTAGGTCTGCTTTCCAGGACACTTTGTTCGAAATTCTGGGGGGAAAAGAAATGTATTCAAGTGGAAGTGCATCCCAAACGGGAAGTCCCCAAGAATCTGCTCGTTCATAATAATAGGAGTAGGCTCATATGTTTAAACATGTGAATATGTATTGCTTCTATCTTAGTAGCTTATCTGTTTCTGAATCTTAATGTATTGTGAAGTTCAAATTTGCAACAGTTTTCTTTATGTTTTGTTTGATGCTTCATTCAGGCATGCAGGTCGCTAGAGGAGGTGAGTGGTGCCACCAGTTGTCTTTATGTTTTGTTTTGATACCAACTGGCATGTTCTAGTGACAATAATGCATGTCATTGTGACCTGTTCTGGAAGCAGAATAGTTGCTTGCTTTGATTCAGGCATCTAATCAACCAAGAAGGAAAATATTTACATTTCTGTATGATATATGTATGTTTCCATTTCTGTACGGGTGTTACGGAAAAATGGATGGCGAGGATGGCTTCCCCATTTCTGCCCGTTCTTATGTTCCCCTCTGGCATAAGTCAACCAGTGCTTGTTGCTGGAACATTACCAGTATTGTATGTCTGAAACATCTTTGAGGGTGCATCCTTATCAGATAGTGATGTAGATTATTATGTCAGCTTTAGATAGTTACTATGTTTATCTTTAGAACACAGTGAGAACCAAAGTAGCCATACTGGTGATCTTGTTGAACACAAGGGCTTTTCATCCATAAGGTTGCCTACTCATGGCATGATGTACCCTCTGAGATGTTTATGACAGTTAATGAGCGTTATGAGATGAGAATGTCTAAGTGACTGGTGGGGAATATAGGGAAGTATGTTGGAATGGGAAGCATCTCAGTATGAGGGAGATGTGGAGGGGGTCAGCCCATGACTTCTTTCTGTCACCTTGGTGCAGAAGGAAATGTGATGCAGTGTGTGTCTGATTATCAATATGCATAATATCTGGTTTGTGGCTTATCCATACACTTTTTGGGGCATTTTCAATTGCATGATGTGCCTATTAATTGTGTTTAGTCCATCTGTCCACATGCATGAAGAAACTTAAGAACCACTGGATGGGATTTCATGAAATTTTATATTTAGAATTTTATGAAGAATTATCAGGCTCTTTCAGTTTTTGTTTACATCAGATAATTTTAACAACCACTTTACATGAAGTCCTACATCTTGAGCATAACCCACTAAATATACACTCAAGTGCCAAAAGTCATGGGATAACAGTATGTAAATTTATTTTTAAGTGGCGCCACCATCCCTTGATGGCTTAGGAATGCCCAGAGCAGTATCAGTTGTGAGGTATTCTGTCGTGAGTCTGGTTGAACGCTGGCCAGTCTTCTTATGGCAAGCAGACGTGAATTATTGGAGTTTGAATGGGGCATGATAGTGGGTGCCAGGTGGATGGGACATTCCATTTCCAAAGTTGTGCGGTCATTCAACATTCCTCAATCCACGGTGTCATGTGTGTACTGGGAATACCTTGTGAAAGGCATTTCCACCCACTGTGGACAGTGCAGTGGCTGACCACGGGTGCTTAATGATCGTGACCAGTGGCATCTAGCTAGAATTGTCCGTGGTAACAGACAAGCGACACTGGCTGAAATCACATCCACATTCAATGCAGGAGGTACCAGACGCATATCCAGCAGGTCAGTGCAGCGTTCTTTAGCTTCCATGGGATATGGGAGCAGAAGACCGACCAGAGTGCCTCTGTTAACACCACGACACCAGACACAGCGCCTCACCTGGGCTTGTGACATCGTTAATTGGACCCTGGAGGATTGGCAACATGTGGTGTGGTCCGATCAGTCATGGTAGCAGTTGTTCGGGCGGATGATAGGGTTCGGGTGTGGAGCAGACCCCATGAGGCCATGGACCCCAGTTGTCAACAAGGCACCCTGCAGGCTGGTGATGGTTCCATACTGGTGTGGGGTGTGTTCATGTGGCATGTGTTGGGTCCGCTTGTCGAACTAAACACATCATTGACCAGTGACCGCTACATTACACTGCTTGGTGACCATTTGCACCCCTTCATGGACTTCATGTACCCCCACAAGGATGGGATATTCCAGCAGGACAATGCACTGTGTCATCGGGCCGGAGTTGTCCAGAATTGGTTCGAGGAGCATTCTGGAAAGTTCCGAATGGTGTGGCCACCACGTTTGCCCAACATGAACCCAATCAAGCATTTATGGGACGTGGTGGAGAGGTCCATTCGCACCCAAAATCCTGTACCTACAAATACCAGGGAGCTGTGGGCGGCTATCCAGACGGCATGGCTCAACATCTCTCCAGAGGTCTTCCATCCACTTGTGGAATCGATGCCATGTTGCCGGGCTAGAAGGGGTCCTACATGTTACTAGCTACCTATCCCATGAATTTTGGCACATCAGTGTATATCAAAGGGAATAGTTTTCAGTCAGCATTGTAGAGAAGAATGGAATGCATTTCATGTACATTACACTTTTCTGCAAGTCTTTTGATTTTTGGGAATTGAACAAACTGAACTGTGTACAATTCTGAATTTCTATACTCAGCAATCACCATGATCTTCTTATTACCCCTGAAACTTGGATTGCCCTTGTGTGTGTGTGTGTGTGTGTGTGTGTGTGTGATCTTCTCGGTAACATCAACATGGATAATCAGGAGTATGCTGTATTAGCCACTTCAGTGTTCACAAGTGAACAGCAAGAGCGCTGCAATGTTGCAACAGTGCAAATACTTTGAATGTATTGAAGCTCCCTCTTGCACTCTTTCAGTATGTTCTAATTAATAAGAAACCAAGCAATTTGTCTCAGTGTAATTAACCTTGTCATATGAGGTTTCTCAATGAATAGATTACCTTTTCATGTCAGGTTTTTGCTGCAAATTAAATGTAAATCCTTATTGTTTGAAGGTCATGGCACAGCCATATGCATCTCGGTATGGTGTTTCCCACAAGTTAGAGTAAACAAATCTTTTGGTCCAAATTTCTGTGCTTTACCTTAGAATAAAATTAATCTTCTGTTTCACAGTGAAAGTAAGTATATGTAAAATACAACAGTTGTAGCTGCATATAATGATATCTCAAGGAGAGACAGTAAGTAATATTAGTTGCACAAGATTTCACACTAGCAGTTTGAAATGTAAACAAAGGTAAGATTTTTTTAATATCGGTAAAGATTCAAACTGTGGTCTTTGGGTTATGGCACCATATAGTCTGGCCTACCTTCCACACTGTGCAGTGTTATAACATGATGTAAATAAAACATATTTAAAATACTAAAGGTAAAAGTTGTCCCTTCGCTCACTTGAACATCATACCGTGAAGACATTTGGGAAATGGAAGTATAGCAGCATTTATTCATAATATCAGGGCTAGGTGGAGGAAAGTAGTTTGCTGCTTGCCCTGGCCACATTAACCATGCAGAATGGCCACCTCTTGCTCATTGATAGGTGGCTGGGTGGCTCTGTTCCTGCCAGGAACCTTGATTCTCTATTCATCAACCAGCACCCTAGTCAATAAACTGATGGGCCAGCCTCACTTGTCTGATGTGCACTAGGAGAGAGTAATTTGAAATTTTTTATCAGCTGATAGCTAGGTGCACCATAACATGAGGGATATACTGTACTCCAATGTGGAAATCTGCTTCATGGTAGGCATTAAAATTAACCATTTCCTTTCCAGTCGTTATGACTGATGAGGCTGCTTTTGCTAGCCCTGTCATTGGCTGATTTAGACAGAGTTTAGAGGATGAATTTCTGTTGTATATGTTAGGAAGGGGCACAACCACACATACATGTTTCATCTCCACCACTTTCTGCTTCTTATCTTTGACACCTTCTGTGCTGGACTTTACACTTTTGAAACCTTTCTGCTGACGAATTCAGTGAGCTGCAGTACACAGACCTTAAGAGACCAAAGGACAGGCCTTTATAATTAGATAATTGCCATGAAGCACCTCTGAAGGAGAGATTTTGTAACACCATTTCCCCCTTTACTTTACAAAAAGCAGCAGCATGGTGTGTATGAATACACAATTTGTTTTGGTCGGTACCATTGCAGAGCCAAATTAATGGTTGAAATTGGTTTAAATTTAAGTGTTAAATGGCAAATGAATCTGCACCTGCCTATAGAAGAGATATTTCCTAAACCTAGATGCCAGAACCCTGATGAGGGAGATGGCATGTTCATGACAGAACAAGAAAACTGAACAGTGGCTGCAGATCTTCCTCTCCTCCTGTTAACATGTTTGCTACATTGTTGCTCTGCTCTTAGCCACCATGCTGTTAAAAATGCCTAGCAGTCTAGATGCCTGGGGAGTCCTTCTGCTTACACCATGATTCCTCAAACTGTGGGTCATGATCCATAATGGAGTCACAGCTTCTTCTTATGGTGACCGCCAAGTTTTCAAGAATGATTTAAAACATAGTTTTAGTCACTGACATTTCTGATGTGTCAGTAAATCATTGGACTGAAAAATGAACTGTTGGAAAAATGTAGCTGTAGCCAGAGAATTCCCCCAGCCCCTGAATATACAGGAATATATTATAGGTCAGTGCAGGTGCAGACAGGTTGTACAGTCTGATAGGGACCTGCAACAATGAGCTCAGTGGCAGAGATGGGGGGGACTGTAAGTGTATTATTTTAAGGGGTTGCAGTGCTACAGAGGCTGAGAACTCCTGCCTTATGACCTAGTGATGTGACAGTGCACTGTGCCATTCACTACCAACTGCAGACAGACTCAAAGCAAGTTGGGATGCATATAACTGTGGCATAAGGGGTGGCCATATTGCTACCATTGTCCAACTTCTTTAGTGGACTGCAACAGAGTTACAATTCCTACTCTGTCCGTCATCCAGCATCATAATGAGAACGTAATATGTCAGAAGCTGAACTTGTTGTCATCCTGTCAGGTGGAAAAGTTAGGAGACAACTACGCAGTTGTTTACGTTAGAGAAAGTTAACGTAGGTCACTGTTAGCTCTCTGTAATGGACCCAGCTGAATAGCAGCCTCTCCATTTTTTCACCTGAGAACAGAAACATATTCAGTTTATGAACTTCACATTCTGTTTGGAATATTAGGTCATGGACGAAGTTCAGAAACATAGCAGTGCTAAGCCAGAATATGATACCTTCTGTGGAACCAGTTCCAGACTTGTTTGTTATTTAGCAGGGCCAGTAGAATTAAATTTCACACATCTTATTTAGAATTTTAAGCTGTATACTTATTTATATTTTTGAGAATAGAAATTATGGAAATGCATGGGTTTGTTTTGTTTACTTGCACTTAAAACTTGGCATGAAAGAGTCATTAAAACAGTTCATCAGGTCTTTCTGTGTTGTTTTTTTTTTTCACTAATTTAGAATAAAGAAGTATCATAGGATGCATGTGCAGAACTTTCTTTCCTAAAGTCATGTATGCCAATACTATGCTCAGCTTTAACCTCAAGGTTGTAACATAACAGTGCACTGGCAGATGAGCAACTTCTGACAAATTTAGCCAGTATGCATCAGTTGTTTGCCAGAATGCATAGTGTTTGAAAGAAAGTATTGTGTGTATGCTGCCTTAACCTAACCTAAATTGTCAAAGGACATATGTATGTATGTATGTATGTATGTAGTACATAAAGGATTAATAATCTGCAATATTATGCCTGAATTGATACTACCATTACATTGGATAGGAGTATGTGGCAATTCGTGAGGTCCATATAAACGTATATTGTAAGCACTCAGTTGTTTTACCTGTGCATTGATGACATTGCATGGTGTAAGCCTGCCAACATTTGAGATTTATCACTGAACAGGTTGGTGTAGTGGTAATGCTCTAGACTTACTCATGTGATCAAGAAGTGCTCAGTTAGAACATTGTCTGACCTAACTGATTTTTTTTTTGTGTTTTTCCTCTGCCCCTTCTGGGAAATGCTGGGATATTACCTCAGCTAGGCCACAATGCTGTCGTCCAAATTAATTCCAGTTCATCATTCACCAGTCGCCTTACCATTTAATGCTGTACATGTGTAGCCACAGACACTAACAATGTTGTAAAAAAGTCGTTGCAAAGACATTGCACATGCTCTTTGATATACAATTGACCTTTACTACATTACTCTGGAAACAGTGCAGTTGATAATCAGTAGGCCATTGTTTGTTTCTGAATATTGAACAGCAGTGAAATTCATCCGACCAACAAAGCCAGTTTCAACAAAATCATTTCTTATAGGCTCCTAGTGTGTGTGGCATTACTTCTCTGAAGGTACTAACTCATTCACACTGTGGAGCTAACAGTTGCACAGCTACTCAAGAATTTCCCAACATGTTATGGAAGCCAAAGGTTCATTACCATGTTCAAAAGAGCCCTCTGCTAGCTCCAACAGTAAGCCAGGGCAGTTCAGTCCAGACCAACGGATTGTATTTCTCTTAAGATCCATCTTAATAGTATCCTTCCACCTACACGTGAGTCCTTCTGGTGGCCTGTTTTCTCCCATCCGTCCCACCAAAAACATGTATGTGTTCATCTTTGCTCCCATTCGTGCTACAAGCCCTGCCATTTCATCATTCTAATTGTATTTGATGAGAAGTACAAATTGTAAAACTCATCATTATGTGATTTTCTCCAACCTCCTGTTGCTTCAGCCCTCTTGGGTCCAGATATTCTCAGCACCCTGTTTTCAAAACATCTTAAGTCTGTGTTCTTCCCATAATCTCAGAGACTAGTTTCCCACCCTTACAAAACTATGAGCAAAAAAAAATTTTTTTATATATAGCTTTTATGTGTTTAGATTGAAGACAAGAAAACTAAAGTTTATGAACTGAATGGCAGCAAGCATTTCTGAAATTCAGTCTGCTCAAAATTTCCTCATGAGTCAAATTTTGCTTTGTTCTTGTCATTCCCAAATATTTAACTTTTGCCTAATTTTCAAAAGATTTTGTGTTATGATTTTTCCTTCCATTCTGGTGAAGAAACATCAGCATGCATTTAGTTTGTCTTAAGGTGTTTTATTTTATCCCCCATAGATTTCCATCATCACCATGGATCAGAAGCTAATGTGTCCAATTTGAAGTCGGTACCACCTGATTTTCTGAACCTTCCTAGTGGTGTATTCTAGAGTGAAGTTGAAAAGCAGTGGTGATAAAGCATATCCATCGTCAGACAATTCTCAATAGGAAATGTATCAGACAGGGTGACCACATTCAGTATATATGTTGACAGTACACAGTTTCTTTGAATGGAATTCAGATATTTAGTTTTCCCACCTTGTATAACCTATGCAGTTTTACACTGTCAAACCAGGATTCAGTCGATGAGCTCTTCATAGTTACTTTAGGTTACCATATTGCATCATGAACTTGCTATCAAAGCACACATATTCTGGATATCATTAATCACCGTCTTCTGACTTAGAAGTGGTGGGATCTCTTGTTAGGCTAGAGACTACCATACCTGTTATAGCATGTATAGGGGGTGGCTATATTGTAGCACAGCATGTTTATAAACTCATTATGCAGTTGTAATCATTTGCCTTTACTGGCTGTACTTTGCATTATTGCAGCAGCGTGTGGTCCAACTGGCCAACAAGCTTGAAGGTACCAAGAAACATGATTTTAGAAAAGAGGTCCCCACTAATACCATTACCCTGGCAATAAGCCGTTGTCCTCAAGTTAAAATGCAGCTGCCAGCCCATAGTATGGGGAGATATAAAATCTATTTGTGGACAGTAAATTTAATGATTATGAACATGACATCGTTGAAAAAAATTAAGGTTACACAACTAAAATGTTGCTTTATACCATGTAAGTGACTGTTGGCATCAGCAGTAGAATAAACAATCATATTGTCACATGTATTAGTGACTGTAGGTTAAATGATTGGATTTGTTGACCCCTTATACATTCAACTCGGGATTACAGGCAGTTATAGCACTACTGCTATTTCCAAACTTTGCAGCTCACTGTTACACACACTGTAGGGTTCTCATTCTTCACTAGTCATATCCTAGCAACAGATTTATAATAGTCTTACTGTCACTGCAGCACACATGAAGTCTTCTTTGCACAGACCAATTCCTTTCTCCCTATTATTCTCACTCACCTTCGACTGACGACTCTCAATTCTCTGCTGCAACTGCCATCTCAACTCTTGAATAACTGCTCGCTTGAACTCTGGGACTCAGCTCAGTTCTAGTTAAAGTTAAAGTTATGTTATGACTGACAGTCAGTCAGCCAGTCTGTTGTGGCGTCAAGCACCCATTTGGGACTTAAGACCAGATTTTTGTTTCTGTCAGACAGTTGCGTGTTTGTTGCTGTGGGCACCCTCTCTGATGAGTGAGCGGGTCGTAATTTCCAGAGTCACAGTCACTTAAAATGGCCCATGCGGCCACTTCATGAGATCCTCAGAAAACACTGCTTCCAACAAGTCCCACTATTGTTATGGGTAGTTGCCTAGCAATAGGTTGGATATTATTTGTGTGTTTACCGGCCATTACCAAGCAGTACACATTCCTTCTCACAGTTGTTGCATAGCAATGGTACTGCACAATCATATATAACCATACAATCATGTATACTCATACAGCCAACACATTTGCACTAATAATTGACACATTATTACAGGAAATGATCTTTTAATGAATAAAAGAAAATTTTACAACTTGTATTTGAAATAGTGAGCAACATGACATTCACATATATTTATGAGAAGGAATAGTTACAGTAGCAGGGCTGAAGTTCATATTACACATGAGAGGAATATTCGCTGTTCATTACACAAAATTGCATTCTATAAACTTAACTTTCCACTTGGATGAAAGAGATTGGGTCAGGTTATATCAAACCAGTCAACAAGGAAGCTATTAGATATAGGGAATGCATTTCACTGCACTGCCTCTCATTACTTAAACATCCTGAAACCAGCAGAGTACAAGATTCTCAGATGAAACTGCATGGAGGCACTTACAGGATTCATGTACTTCAAATGTTGCTGGAAGCAATTCAGATAGATAGGTTCTTGTATGCTTGTTATGTTTTGCAAAGTTTACACTTTCTCATAAGCAGTCTCCTATGAACATTTTTTATTGTATTGATATCAGTTCCAATCTGATTTTATTTATATTTTATTTAATAACACTGTTGATAACCAAGATTATAGCATGGTGAATGATTGGATTGCACCTGAGTTATGGTACTCTGAATTGCTTCTGAGTTATGGTACTTTCAGCTCTTGCCTGGAGGGAGTAAGGAGAGCCACAGAAAACCTCAGTCAGGATAAGCATTGACCTGGGTAAGATTCATACAAGGCACCTGCAAAATACTGCTCAGAACAGAAGTGTTACTACTTCAGACACCTTGCTTGGTTACAAACTGATCCCAAGTAAGACAGAATAAACCTTACAATGATGTTCACGAATTGCTTCATTGTGTGTATGTCCAGAACTTTTCACATTTAAAATGACTTTATAAACACACGCTATTGAATGNGTCCAGAACTTTTCACATTTAAAATGACTTTATAAACACACGCTATATGTGTGGTAAAAATAATATTGAATATAGTGGAAGTTGGGTATGATGAATTGTGTATTCATACAGGAGCNGTACGAACTAATTCCTCATAAAGCAACTGTTTTTATACCTTGCTTAGTACGACATGCACAAATGCATCAACCTCGTATGTAACGTCATTTTCATTCCTGAATTTCTCTGATATGGACATTGAACGTAATTTAGAAAGTGTGTATTGGGCAAGTAACAGGAAACAGATGAAGATAACTGATTACTGTACTCGTATCTAGGTACAGTAAGGCACAACAATTGATGTAATCTACTGTAATTTGGTGAGTAGGCCTACCTTTAATATACAGTTTTAGTGCNTACTCACAGCTCTTGCCTGGAAGGAGTAAGGAGAGCCACAGAAAACCTCAGTCAGGATAAGCATTGACCTGGGTAAGATTCATACAAGGCACCTGCAAAATACTGCTCAGAACAGAAGTGTTACTACTTCAGACACCTTGCTTGGTTACAAACTGATCCCAAGTAAGACAGAATAAACCTTACAATGATGTTCACGAATTGCTTCAGTGTGTGTATGTCCAGAACTTTTCACATTTAAAATGACTTTATAAACACACGCTATATGTGTGGTAAAAATAATATTGAATATAGTGGAAGTTGGGTATGATGAATTGTGTATTCATACAGGAGCTGCGATGTCGCGAAGAAGAACTGACGAAGGCACAGTTGCAACAGAAGCTGCTGGAAGAACACCTGCGTCAGCGGGAACAAGAGCTGGCGGCACGTGAGATCGACCTCTTGGAGCGAGAGCTTCACATCATGATCATACAACAACAGACACCGACACCAAAGAAACGCAAAGGAAAATTCAAACGTGGCCGCCTCAAAATTCTGAAGAAGGAGCCTGGGCAAAACATTAGTCTACCTTCAGGTGAGGATACCAACAATAAACTTTGTAGTAATAGAAACCAAATGTTCAGTACCACTGATGTCAAAACTTGCTATGCACATGGCCTGGTGCCACTTCTATCTCCCTCCCATCCCCAAAACTTATTTTCCAAATTTAATAATTTTCTCTCCTCTCCTTGGTTTTCCCATTGGCCGATTTCCAAAAGGTTGTTCCTTCAGAAATTGTGTATGCATTCATTTTATCCATATTCTAGCTACATGTCCAGCCTATTGTAGGCTCAGGGCTATGTCACCTATATAAAATATGAAATTTGTAATTGATGTAACATCCTACATTACCCGTTTATGCCGTCCTTTTTAGATCCGTTTGTTTTTCCGGACACTTTGGTTTGACACACTTGCAATATATTTCGTCCTTCAACTTAAATAAGGTTTTCTGCCTTCAGTTCTCCAGCCATATGTGGATTATATCTAGGGATATCACTTGATATTGATATGAATTCAAGATATCAGTGTAGAGAGTGTCTGAAAAATAACTGTGGGGTTTAAAGAACCAGTATTAAAAAAATGAGAAACATATTCAAAAAATTAATATTTCCTTAAAGCATGCTTCAAATAGTAAAGGTAGAGTTGCCCCTGGGTTGGGTATGTAATGCAACAAATAACTTCACGCCATTTTGGATCTAGCAAATTTATTGCACATTCGCTCTCAGACTTACACAGTTCACAGTTTCACAACTACTGCCATCTGCAGTATCACAATTACTTCTCCTACCAGAGTCCCTGCCATGCACTGGATACAACTCAACAACAGTGGACTTCAACTCATACAGAATACTCCATCCTCAGTACTAGTATCTCTCTCTAGTAACGTGATGCTCACTACTACTGAATAATGTTCGCTGCTCCTTATCTAGGCTTGGCATGGACAACATAGAGAACATGTTGCTGCTCGGCAACAGATATCAAGTATTGTTGTCGGGTGTTTCTACCTATGCATTGCCTAGCAATAGTCGCTGCATGTACTCACGTGTTGCGTGACGTCACAGCCTCGCGGGGAGGGATGTTTACCAAGCGTTGCATAATGATGGGAGGAGTGGGGGTACGTGACGTCACTCGTGGAAACTCGGAGTTCACGTGACCCGTACTTCCTGTTGCTCCATCCACATTACATAATTAAGCACTATGTCATGAAGACGTATGGGGGAGTGGATGTATAGAACCACGTTTTCTTTACCTCAGCACTAATTGGAGGTGAGTGGTCAGCTTCATGCCCCAGCCACTTTACCCCTGAGGAAAGAGCCCTCAATACCCATTGGATAGGAGGCTGGGTGGGCCCCAGACTCGGTCTGGATGACATGAAGAGAAAATTGTTGCCCCATACTTGAACTCAAACTCTGTTCCCTTGGTTGTCCAGCCCATAGGCAGGCCTGTCTACTGACTATGCTATAGTTTTGACATAATTAATAAATAACCTTACACATTCCCAGTCAGTATTCCACTTCTTGCCATATATGCCGTAGCATATTACTTGTTACCTGATAAGTGTAAAGTGACCATTTGTCCCCTGAAATAGGATGTATGTCCCAGCCAGCCTGATTTTGTCCCCTGTTTGTTAAATAAATTAATGCAATTTGAAAAACTGGGAACTGTGATAGCAGCAGACTATGGAGTAGCCTATCAGTTGTGAGTAATTGATTACAAAGGAGCCAAATTGTGAAATCATTAGAACTCAGAAAGCTTTATACAAGGCAGTGAAGTCTTTGATAACAGAAACTAGGCTATTTGACTATTTTCATTCCCCATATCCTATCACAATCATTTTGTTTTGTGGGTTTTGCAACATTTTGTAGATCTAATTTATTGATACTGTCCAGTAACATGAATATAAAGAAATGACTATAGGGTGTATTATGTACCATTTCAATGGTAACCTCCTTCTCCAGCTCTCACCAATGACTTTAAATATCTGTCCCCAAAAGTACCAAGGGAAAAATCGCCACTTTAGCTAATGGCTTTACTGCTTTTTGTTTTCAAATGATAGGTCTCAGATTCTGTTCACATGAAAGTAATCATTTCAATAGTTCCCCCCCTCCACACACACACACACACACACACACACACACAAATCAAGCAATGTCAAATCTACACTTCTGGGTTTACACAGAACTGAACCATCCCTGCCATTCCATCTTCCAAGAAATACTGTTGCATTACAAAATTCCATTATATGTAAAGGGGAGTGAAGGAATGTAACAGTGCATTGTGGTGGGCTGCTCATGAAACTGTTTGAATCGAGGAATGTAAAGAAAGGCATAACATTCAATGTGATGCCCTTGTGTATTTGGAGACACAGACCTATGAAAACCCCACTGTTATTTTTTGAACATGGTGTATTGTGTAATGTTTTGGTAACATAAAATTACTGCTGTTTATTTGAAAGTCCACTCAAGAACCAAGAGTCTAAGAGACAGTTGGTATATGTGTGTTGGTTATTAGGAAGAGAGAAATGTCTGAATAATCATGACAGTTATATAGTACAGTTGAAGAAATGTGTAATATTTAAGACTTAATCTATTATTTAAACTAGGCCTGCACAAATTTCCTGTAAACCCAAGAGCCACCTCGAGAAACTGTGAACTGGACTAAAAACCAAAATGTGTAAGGTGAGAAATTTCCTCATTTTTAACAAAAGGACAGTTTAAGGTTCCAATGGGGTGGCTTCAGTTCTAGGCAGAATTTTGTTTTGCATTATTTCATATGTAAAAAGCAAATAACGCAGTGCAGTGGTGTAAGAATGGTGGTGGCTCAAATAATCCTACAGTTACACCAAAAAAGGAGCAGTGCAGTGGTATTGTTTTAACTTCATTTGAATTTTTAAAAATGTTTTTTGCTCTCCAAAATTTATTAAAGCTGAGCCACAGCATTTCTGCATTGAACCTTTGAATTGAAATATCTGCATATAAGTAACAGCCAGTTTGTCATGCTCATGGAAACTCAGTGTGACATTGCCAGGATATGGGAAGGATGTAAAGTAGTCTGCCATTGCTAAAACACTGCCTTCTGCTGTTGCAGCTGTCTCATACATTTGCTAGGATATCAGGAGAGCAATGACTATATAATGGATGTATAAAATGGATGGGAAAGGAATATACAAGAAGCAAGGATGGATATAAATATATAAAAGGAATAAAAGAATGGAAGAACAGGGTATGGGTCATATTTAAATGTGAAGAAGAAAGAGGAATAAGAGTATGATGAGCAAATAAAAGGATTACAGCAACCATGAGAGAAAAAGGAGGGAATGAGATAAAGATACAAAAGGGAAAAGAAATGATTTCCTACATCACCTTTGATGGGCGATGCTCTGGTAGTAATATAATAGGAAGAAAATTTAGGCATCATGGCCACCTGTCACCTTGAATTTGTGCAGGTGTGGAATTTAATCTGTTCAGAAACTTTTGCTTAAAAGTGCAACTCTCATGTTTTGAGCTCCATAATTTGTAATACATATAAGTAAAAGCAGTATGTAATGCTTAAGACTGGATTTGTGAGGTACTAGGTAATGTGAGAACTACACTGCCTACGAAGTCAGTTAAAATGTAGCAGCCGCCGAAGACAGTTGGAATGTAGCAGCGGTAGCAGAAAGAAGAATACCGGAACGTGTGATTAGAAGTGATAGCGTGAGAAGCAGATGCCTGGCTCACAAGAGAAGTAATTGGGAGTGTGTGACACAGTGATACTGGAATAGCTCCCGTATCGTACTGTGAATACGTGTAGACTACTGAGGACAGAGTGGACAGATTTGTGTGTAGGGTTTATAAAGTGTGTAAACCCGTAACATTGTTGTAATTAATTGTAGATGAGACTTGTAGGTTGTTAAATAAACCAATTAACAATCTGAACGGCGCCTTCAGTGGCAAAAAAAAACACGCTGCAGTAATTTAGAAATCTCTAAACCAGTTATTCCTGTCAGTCAAGATATTGTTTGCTTTTATTGCACCAGATGTCTTCACCGTACATCAGGAGGCCTGACACTGTACCCTATCCTGGGACATTTGAATCTTGTTCACATTCAAATGTTCTGTTTATTTAAGATCCTCTTCAGCAATGTCTTTCCATCTGTGCATGCTACATGGCCCACTCATGTCATTCTCTTTGATTTGCCCACCCTTATATTCTCGTAGTGAGGAGTCCTGGTTATGAGACTCTTATTGTGTACTTTTCACCATCCTCTTACATCAGCTTCCTTAAGTTCAGACATTCTCCTTAGAACTCTATTTTAAAACACCTTCTATTCATGTTCTTCTCTGTTGGCAAGAAAGCAAGTTTTACATCATACACATCATAACTGTATGCAGGAGAGTTCTTCTTGCAAAGCTGATAATTGCTCCGCTAGTTCAAGAATTTCTGGACATTATCTATTGTCCTGTTTTTTGTTTAAAACACAATGTTTCGGAGACTAGATTCTGCCTCTGTCATCAGGTAAAAGCCTACTTAGATGGACCCAATTGATAAAGATAGTCCCTGTTGCTGGACAACAGCACCAACACAAGAGAGGATATATAAACCAAGCACAGCATAACTCATCTGTGAGAGTTAAGACAAACATTAAAATATTTAAAAACTCCACACACATGAGGCCTAGCACCTTTGCCCATGCACTGTTTCACAACTATTGTTAAAATCAGAGTACTGCAGAATATAAGTCATCACTAAGGAGACACATTCTCTCTATGGTACCAACATAAGAACACAACTTTCACACAAAGTCTGCACTGGACAGATTTGTAGTTCTCTGACTTCCGCTGCAATAGCAGGAGTCTGGATGAGAGAGACGTCCAAGCTGGGTTACTGATTGGGTGACATATGGGCAGATTCCTCGTATTTCCTGTAGGTGGTGTTTTGTTCAGTCTGCAAGGCCTTTGCTTCTTTCCAACATGTTGTGGCCTCTTTTTATATGCATCTTGGGCTAATTTTGTTTTTTGAGCAGACCTTGGGTCTGATTATGTTTGTGCTCCTTAATGCACACGTCTGAAGCACACAAAATGTGTGTAGTGTCTGCCACATTCACACTGAATGTCATATATGCACTGTGCCATCTGTTGCAGATCTCTTTCTGGCCAGGTTTTCATGAGTCACAAAACAGGCAGGGCTTTAGCCATGAGGCTCCGTGAATGGGGCGCAATCTCAAAGAGTCTTCTAGAAAAATCAAAATTAGACCAACATGCCTGTGAAGAGGGTCATAGGGTAAGATGGGATAAAGCTAGGATTTTGGAAATTGAAAGTAACAGCAGGTATAGGAAATACAGTGAATCGGCCCATGCGGCTTGCTTTACCAATCTGAACAGCCAAGCCAGTTTGGACATTTCTCCCAACTGGATCCTCCTTATCAGCAGTGTGGTTGCCAAGTCACAGAGAAGCTCAGTATGATGGGTCAGATTCTTCATGGGTTGCTATAAGGTTTTAATCACAAGTGTTCAATTTTTACTCCACAAAAGGCGCTAGCAGTAGGCACAAAATGGGTTCACAATATTCTCCATTTAATCCTATGCATTGGTATTCATGTACTTGGTTTGATGGCTTCTCTCTTAGTTTCAGGTCTGTGCATGCATTATCACAGTTTTTTTTTTAATATTTTCCTGTTATTTCCCTTTGACATAGCCTGGTCTGAGGTAGTTGTATAGTTGTGGTTATACTGATGTGGGTGCTCCAATGATAGAGATCATTGTTTCTAAGGGATTCAACGGATTAGGTGTTTCCTAATAGTTACTATAGGATTCTGACGATGGTGTATAACACACTGATATATTGGGTTTTTGGACTATATCCATTGTCCTGGTTTTTAAGATAACAAATAAAAACACGACGCAATATATCTAGGTGTTTCCTCCTCACCTGAGGATGGAAACAGATCCAGTTTCTGAAACCTTTTCTTTTGTGTCTTTTAAAATACCAGATGATCAGCAAAGTCCAAAAACCAAGTAATTCTAAGTATTCAAGAGTTTATCCATTCTAGGTCGATGCCTCTTGAATCTCCATATTCCAGCCCCAAAAGTAGGGACCCTACAGATGGGCCCCAAAACACAAAATGACAATCTTGAAAATGACTCTCATGACATTTCAGTTTATGAAAATCTATCTACCTATTTGCTGTTTGTCTGTCTGTCTGTCAGTCTGTGGCTCTACAGTCCTTTTGTTGGACCTTGGCCTTTTTCAGGTTCTTTATCATATACACAGTCAGTAGGACTTCTTGGACAGGGGATCAGCCTGTCACAAGGCTGCTATCTGCACACAGGACAGCACAGACACGGAATAAACGCATACAGACATTCATGCCCTGAGTGGATTCAAACCCACCATCCCAGCGTTCAAGCAAGCAAAGACAGTTCATGCCTTAGACCGCATATCGACTTTGATCGGGACTTTAAGGAAATTGTATCCCTAAATAAAACTGCATAGGTGGTACCTTCAGGAAACTAGTGGTGTCAGGGATTGGAGGTATAGCTCCACCATTCTTGACCACCCACTAGATGGAGGTGGGTGGTCAGCTTCACATCCTGCCCACTTTACCTACAAGGAGAGAGCTCTGGTACCCACTGCATAGAAGGCTCGGTGGGTCCCAGAGCTGGTCTCTGCGCTGTGGAGAAGAGAGAAACCTGTTTTCCCTGCTGGGAATTGAATCCCAGCTGTAGAAAAGTAAAAATATATTTACCTAATTTAATGTACTAATATTTCATCTCAGTGTATTCAATAAATTCCCTAAGTACCACAGAAAATTTTGTTAGGAGATTACAGTGGCAAAGTGGGCAGGGAAGATATTTTCGAAGACAGTTGGGAATGAGAGTTCACACGAAATTAATAATGCTAATGGAAGTAGGGTAGTAACTTCGACGTATCCAAAAATCTGATTTTCAAAAGTACAACAAACTGACATCTTAACATTCATAAGTTTATATGGACATCTCCTGATGGAAAGCCTCACAGTCAAATTGACCATAATTTGATAGGCAGGCAGTGACATCCAAGTGCATGAGTACACAATATCTTCCAGTCTTTCAGGGGAGAGGTCTTGACCATTAGCTGGTGGTGGAGAGCATTAGGGAGAGACTGGCAGTGAGTAAACAAACAACACAAGAATTTTGTATGAGAGGTCCCATCTCAAAACATTAAAGAAGTTTTAGGGCAGTGACCGACCGCTTCTGTGGTCTAGTGGTCAGAGTTCCTGGCTACAGATCCAGAGATCCTGAGTTGATTCCCAGCACTACCAGATTTTCTGAGAAGTAGTGGGTCTGGAATGGCATCCACTCAGCCTCAAGCGGATAATTGGGGAGCTATTTCAAAGAAATAGTGGCTCCTGTCCAGAAAACCGAGATGGACTGGCTGTGGGGATCCATTGCACTGACCGTGTGACACCCTCTGTCTGCTAAAGTTGGCACTAACTTCGATGACAGGCGGCAGTTGCTTGGTTGGTATAGTTCGCTCGTGGACTATAGACCATGGAGTTTTTTGTTTTGTTTTTTGTTTTTGTGGGGCAGTGACCGTAATGAGGAGCTTCGTAACTTGTACACTTTGCCAAGTATAATTAGAATGGTCAAGTCAAGGAGAATGAGATGAGTAGGATATGTAGCATGCATGGATGAAAAACAGAAGCATGTAGGTTTTTGGCGTGAAAGGCAGAAGGAAAGGGACCACTAGGAAGACAAAGATGTAGGTGAGAGGATAACATTAAAATGGATGTTAGAAAGATAAAGTGGGGAGATATGTGCTGGATTGTTCTGGCCCTGGATAGGGACCAGTCTTGGGCTCTTGTGAACATGGTAATGAACCATTGGGTTCTATAAAATGTTGGAAGATTATTGAGTAGCTCTGCAACTGGCAGCTTCTCAAGAAGGGTTCGGCTCCAAGAAGTTAGTTAATATTTAATCTGTTCACACATGATTTTATTGGATGTGATGGTCCCAGTGACTTTGTTCTTTAGTTCACTTATACCATATCCTTGTGTGAATATCAGTTGGTGTCAAACCTTGTGAATAAGGAGGCTGGGCAATTTGTCTGCCAAAATCAGTCCACTGATAAGAAAGTGACTTAAGTTGACTTAAGTAATGACATCTGGTGAATACATATTTTGGTATTTGTGCTATTGTGTCTGTTTTTGCAGATTTTCGGCACACCTTCACTGTACAACATACTGCACCAGATCGGAAGCCTCGCAACCCATCAAGCCCAAACAGCCCACCTGGGTCACCTAGTATCCCACGTCTGCGTGCTATTGCACGTGAGTACCAGATTTCAGTGTGTAGTAGAGCAGTTCACTTGAATTGGTTTCGTTCTTGGAGCAGTGTTTTTCTCTCTAGCCTAGCCAGCAGGAGGACTCTGTCCCACGCTGCAGGTGGAGATTAATGTTATATTGCAAGGAGAGTCAGTAGAGATGCTGACATATGCTTTGTATTTTCATCAGAGTACAGAGAAACACTGCTTTCACTTTGACTGGAGTATTGCACTTTTCGAGAGCATGGTGCTAAAGTGTGTTTTGCTTTGTAGCATGGCGTTTTTATGTAGAAAGTTTGTTTAATTTGTTTATTTATAGTTTTTTAATAAACTTCTGTTTGTCACAGAATGAAGGTAATTTGTAAGTACAAGTATTCTCACACTAAAAGGCAAGGCTCAAACGGTTGGACAGGGTTTGGGTTAAGTTATTATATAGCTGACTGTTCTGTAAGAAGAGTGTGTTGATGGATGTCAAGGGAAGGATGCAGGGAAGGATAAGTGGGTTTCTGATAGGAAGAACTAGACTTAATTATTCTTGTGTTGGTAGTCCCTGCTGATGGGGTGAAGGGTAAGACGTGGGGGCCGAGCACACTGCATCAGCGAGAACGTGGGCAGATCATTACACGGGTGGTAGACGGAGTTCCGGGCGGGCCAAAGCGGTGGAGCCGCAGTGCCCCCAACCTCGAGAAGCACGCGGCTGCTGCCAGGGGGGTGGGCACCCCCAACATCACCGCCCTGCAGGAAATAGGTATGGATGACCAAGACTGCCAGGAAAGGGTGGAGTAAACAACTAATCACTGTCATTTGCACCGAGGAGGCTGTGTTGATGCTTTGTTCAGGAACAGCTGTTTATGCAGAACTATTCAGAATTATTTTCTGTGACATTATTTTTTAAAAATTGACAGAGTTACAGTTAATGGTTCATCCACTTTGAAGTGTGCACAGTTTTCCTTCTGAGATGAAATTGCCTCATGGGAGAAGCACTCAGTTTGTAATTCCACTGTAGTACTTGCGTAAGAAAATTATATCACCCATGTTTTAATAATGTGGACATGAAACGTCACGGACTCCAAATATTTTTCTTTTGTCTTCACAGAAGGCATATCTTTTTCCCACTGTCATTTCTCTCTTGGTGCAAATGGACAGACAGACAATTTGTGGTGGGAACAAAGGGGTGCAAGAGGTGGCGGGCACAGCAACTGATAAGCTGACATTCTTTTTGTTCAGGCTACTCTGAGGAGCAACTTCACTCACTCTGTAAGTGATGACAGAGCATGTTGCCACCTTATTTTTATTTGTACTGCCCCACTTTGTTTCTTTTTTTTTTAATTTAAGATTATTTTGTAATTTAGAATTGTTTGTTGGTAAAATTGTGTTAATCGCTAGTTGGTAGGTAGATGGTACCATTTGCTGTGGCATTTATTTAGCATTACAAATTGTTAACAACCTGTAAGCACAAATTTACTTGAATGTAAGACATGTTGCTGCCTTATCCACGGTATCCTTGGGCCTGCTGAGTGTGATACCTATGTATTATGTGACTGCATCATGCTTTAAACTGAACCATTCCAAATTTGTTGTCAGCATCATCTGTACTATAGAAGCCATTGTGTGTATTTATGTGTGCTTGTAATGTTTGTTTGCTTGTGCAGACCTCAGGAAAAATGTTGAAATAAGGTGCTGTATATCACAACCAATATTTTTCATTGTTTTCTGGTGTAACAGCATGATTTGAGCAGTACATAGTTAATCTGCTTACCCATGAAGGAGAATGAAGTAAGGAGTAAACAAATGACAGAAGGGCAGAAAAATAGAAGGGATGAGAAAGGAAGAAAGGCAATAAATGTATGAAAGGGATAAATTAAAGAAAAAGGGGTATGAGGGATGAATATGAAAGAAATATTTCCTCTTTGAGACTGAACCTGCACGCACGCATGCACGCACACACACACTAAACAATCACATGCAGATGATGAGATAGTCAGAGATTCTTTTTTTGTCTACCATAATACATCCAGGAAAATACTGAGAGGTAAAGGTAAAGTTGTCCCTGTGGCTAACTAATTAAGCACTACACCATGAAGACATATAGGGGAGTGGATGAATAGATCCACATTTTCTTGACCTAGACATTAGTTGGAGGTGAGTGGTCAGCTACACACCCCCAGTACACATTGGATAGGAGGCTGGGTGGACCCCAGAACTGGCCTGGATGTTGTGGAGAAGAGAAAATTGTTCACCCTGCTGGTGCTTGAACTCTGACCTCATTGTTCAACCCATAGCCAGTCGCTATACCAACTCTGCTATCCTGGCTCCATTCACTACTGAGAGAGGACCATGAAATATGTAATGGCTGCTTTAGTTCACATCCCTCCAAAATCACAATAATAACATTGCAGTTTAACATTCCATGCAGCATTATATTCAAAGTTGTACAGTGTACTTGAGAATTCAGTGTATGTATGCTTGCCTAGGACTCTCATCTGTGAAAATGCTAGGTCACTAGACCTTTCTGCAGCTTTTAATAATTCCCAAATCTGTGGATCCTCTTGTAATTTCCTCATAGATAAGCTGTTTCAGTTAACCTGGTGTTGTTACCAGTGTTTCACATTCATGCAACAAGATAGATTTTGTGTAGTGTTTAGTAGTGACTTCACATTTCCCTGTCTGGTGTTTAATAGTTGCTGTGGAATACAGGAGAGCATTTAAAATTTTCCAGTCACTTTATGTGTATATTAGAATTTGATCAGACTCCCAGGCTCCTGCATAAAGTAATTCATTCGGCAACTTGTAACAGTAACAGGATGGGATGGTGTTTCAGTATGACCTGGAGCTCTTATTGAGACATTTCTGAAGTGCGTCATATGTAAAATGTGTATAAAAATTCTTTTGCTCACATGCTGAAACCTTCAGCTGTACTGAAAATAGGACTTTGGATATACGAAGAATTGAAAAATACGCCCCCCCCCACGTACACACACCCACACACACATGCGCGCACCTGCACGGTTTCAGACCCCTTGTTAAACTGTAGGTGGGCCCAGTTGACATGAATCTCTGATCACATATCCTTGCAGACCTTAGGAGGCACCAGAAGCCAACCAACCACTCTTAACCAAATAACAGAGCTGCATGTCCATTCATTCCATGATTCAGATATGGACATGTACTTATCTGAACCCCATATTATTGGTACCAATATGGTGGCTGTGGGAACTTCCAAGCTAAAACACACATACATGCACATTCATGTTTCTTTTCAGACTCCCCATTTACAGAAAACGAATTTTGTGTGCGTGTGTGTTTGTATGTGTGTGTGTATATATGTATATTTACAAATTAAACGTATTGAATATTTTTCTATGTCAGTTTACACAATAAATGTTTCCTGAACATAAGTTTAAAGCAGTTGCATCAAGTAACTTGGATTGAGTTGTTCAGAATGCTAAAGAATATCTCTTACACTGGCCTGCATTTATCCGAGGATGCTTGGTGTAAGGCAGTATGTGTTGTAAGGAGTGAGGGGTTGCAGAAGGGACCAACAGACCGATGTCTGCCTAAGTTCGTTTATCATCATGAGGTTGTCAGCAGTAACATTGAGACTGTCTGTTATTTTAGAAGTAATATGAAAATATATTTCATATCTTGGGTGATGACGCAGAATTATGGTGGACTGGTTTGTTGGGGGTTTCAAGAACTCTGCTGCCGTCAGCTTGGCAAAATGACTATGGCTCTGCCGCTTATGAGGTAGTTCCTCTGATTGATGTGTGACCGGAGGCTTTATTTCATCTTGTTGTCTTCTGGGTAATGACACCATGTTGTAGTCTGCAGGTGATCACTGTGGTGTAAGCTGACCAGTGGACACCATCTACCATACTACAACATTAGATCATTACTTGGAAGGCAATAGTATGAACTGTCACTTCTGTGGAAACCTCAGGCCTTACCAAAGGAGAGAGAGAGAGAATGTGCATTTACACATGTTGCCTTCCCCTCTCTTCACACATCACACACATTTCTCTCAGTCCCCACATTTAGAAGGTTACGAAAACTGGCCAGGCTTTGTCCCTCTTGGTCAGATATCCAGCAATGTGAGTGAACAGGTTCCCACAGCCTGATGGCCCAAACTTACGAACATAGTGCATGACTACTGTTTAGTCAGTTTGCCTTGAAGATGACTGCTATTTTTTTTAAAACATTGACAGACAGACATCACAACATGGTGTCATCCCCCAAAAGTGAACATAAAAATTAACATCAGCACCATGAGAGCCTGAAAGTATGTCATTAGAACATTGCAGTTAATGTATATGTGGCCGTGTAACAGATAGATGGATTCTCAGAATGTGTTCAGTGATATTTGTTCTGCTTTTATTCACGACATATATAATAGAAGGAGGACATTTGGCAACTGTGCTCAGACATTGTCTTTCCCCTTTTCGTGGGCAGTGTTTGGGTTTCTGCCTTTCCTTCCTCAGCTGTGGCAGTATGAGATTGCATGGACATTGTAGAGTGAAGGCTAATGGTTCACTTCTAGTATCTTCCGTATATAGCTCTCATATCTGCATACAATGTGAGATCCATAATCCACTGTACACCAGCTGCACACCAGACGCAGACTTGTACATGATGAAGTGGAACTTCCTGTGTAAGATGTGAATCCCTGTGCTCCAGTTTCTCTTATCTAAAGCACAATAGACCACTGTAGGTCACAGTGCAAGGGCTGAGAAGGCCCACCCCTTATACGTTCATTCATTCATACATTCATCTGTTATCTTCTGTGTTCTTCTGTCCATTTGAGCAGAACCTAAAAAAAGGTTAACACAGAATTAAGCTTTCCAATGTGAACTTACTAGAGATATCAGTTACAGAGATTACTAGATCTTATGGCTGCGAAGTAGACACATCTATGGCTTTATAAGGCCATACTTTTCATTTTGTTGTGCATCTTGCAAGATTCCCTTTTAGTTAGACATATTTACATCAGGGTATCAGGAATTTTATTTTAATATTATGTGAAGTGTCAGAGAAAATACAGAAGAAAGTTTCCTGGAGTTGTAGTTCCCCACTGAAAACTATTCAGAATCTTCTCAGTACAGTGAAAACAATTGGCATGTTAATGGACAGGAAAGTGTTAACACAAGAAAAGTTGGGCAATGTTGAACCTTCACATAAACATTCACCTTGCAAGACTCTCGACAAAAGGAACTGTAAGGGCCATAACAACATTATTTGAAACTACAGCCTTATAGTGTAAAGTCACAGTTCATGAAACCAAACATTTTCTGTGACTTGTATCTTCAGTCAGTTCATGATGGTGAACTCTATTCTGAATTGACATTTTTCTTTTCATACAAGGCTTAGTTTTATTTAAATGCGCATGAGAACAGAGAAGGTAACAAATGCCGCAGCATAGAATATGCAAATCTTTCACATGAAGTTCCATTCTGTAAAAGTCAGTGTTTGGTGCACCCTGATGGTGAGGGGAATTATGGACCCTGTTGCTAAATAGAGATATAATTAGATCAGAGAGATATAGAAGGCAGATACTGTAAGCAGAACTGTAGACTTTATTCTGCAGTCTTTAAGCAGCCTTATATTGGCACAACTACTGAGTATAAAATATGGCAACCCACACAGTGAGCATGCATAGCAGAAAGGTTATGTATGCCCCAGCACAGTTCTGTGACTTCCCCTTTGTATAAATCACAACTCTGATGATCTGTTGCATCATCAGTTTGAACTGAAAGAATTGCCATTGGTAAGGCTGCAAGTGCTCTGCCAATATGATACTACTGTTCTTGTGCCATTAGTATTGGTTTATTGTGTGTTTTTATTATCTCATCTCAGCAGAACAAGTTCAAACTGTTACTGCAATGATTTCTCGCTTAATCCATTCTCAGAATGTTTGATTTTATATACATTAAAATGCCTATACTAAAATACAACAAAAGAAATGTCTCACTGTTATCACAGAATATTCTCTATAGTTAAATTATCCTCCTGCAGTAAGTTAGATCCCAAATAGCTCGGTCAGTATTGACAGGCTATGGGCTGAAAGACTGATCTTTGATTCTCAGCAGGAGTTGATTTCACATTCCCCCCTGTACTTTTAAATTAGCTTTATGGCCTGCCCACAGGGCCCTTTACAAAGGATTACAGAGGCCAGAGCATGATGAAGGTCACTTACCTTCACCTAGTGTAAAGATTAAGGATTTTCTGAAGATTTTCCTATATTATTTCCTATGCGACTTCAT